CGGAATCGGATAGAGAAGCTGGAACTTCATGTCGAGAAGCTCAACCAGGAGCTACATGAGAAGGAAGCTCTCTTTGCCGAGCGTGAGGCACAACTCCTCAATGAGATCCAGGCTTCTAGGGTCCGAGCTATTAAGGAGTTCAAGACTTCATCGGACTTCTTGAAGGAAAGGGAGAACTTTGGCACCGGCACTTTCCACCACGGTTTCAAGCTGTGCCGAATGCTGGCGGGGTCGGTGTACCCCAAGGTCAACCTTTCCAAGATAAAGTCCTCGGCTTGCATGAACGAGATGACAAATCGGGTCGATCTAGAACCTAACTCTGAGGATGAGGTTGATGAGGGAGCTGTAGCCGATGAGCAAGCTGTTAGGGCCAATGTTGATACCATCGAGATGGTTAGTTGTGGGGTCGAGTAGCCCCATGATGTTCGGAGTATCTTGCCTCTTTTCTTGGACCCCCCTTGTATATATGTAATATGTCGAGCCTCCGAGCTCGGCCTTATTTTTTTTTTATGATGTAACTCTTTGTCACCTTTACTGAAATTTGCTTTTTGTACACCTCACATCTACCTTCTTCAAAAGATAAACTTCTCCGGTTGTCTCCTCCGACACCGACAACAAGAGGTCGTCTTCTCTAGCAACGATTGAGTTAAAAACAAGGGGTACCAACAGCAAATGCGATTTATTCCTACGATTTCTTCCAAAATACATGGGGAAGATCTTCGTACAACAATATTTGGTGTGTGACTCATTGATTTAAACTTTTCCAGGGCACCGAGTGGGTGAACAGTGGATCCCACTTGCAGAGAACGGATGTTATAGTTGAGGTCAATTTTGTCATTTCAAAAAATAATCCATACATTGGTAAAAAACATAGGTGGGTAATTATGTCTTTTTGCATTCTAACTGAAGGTGAGTTAACGCCAGGTACTGAATTGTCGCAAATTGAAAGTTTGAGGACTAGATTGTCGCATTTTAAAGTTCAGGTCAAGTTTCAAAGTATCAATATCAGCCTGTATCGGTGCTTTTTTTTGTGTTTTTTTTTATTTTTTTCAAATCTGGTTTACAGGGGTCAATTTAAGGCCCGACTACCCTCTGAACCATGGTCTAACCCAAAACAACCCCTGTAGAGGCGTATCGAGAAGGCCACGATACGATATGTATTGGCCAATATGGGCCGATAGGTAACGATATTTTGAACCTTGGTTCAGGTACTAGATTGATACTAGGACTATACAGGGTACTTATTGAAAATTTTCCCTTTTTTTAATATCCAAGGGGATTGAGAGGTGGAGACAATGTAGGGTGCACCTGAGGTCCACAGATCCTACAATGAAGCACTTGTAGGTACGCAGGTTCAATCAATCCTATACCGCCATACCCAAAAAGATGCCAAGTGATAATCTCAGCTATCGGGCCATCAACATGATAATTTTTAGGGTAAAAGATTTAAACTTCCCCTCATATTTATACTAAATGCTAAGACCTCCCTTGTGTTTTAAAATGGACTAATAGCTCTCCTGTTATCTATATCTATATAAATATATTAAGTTATAATGTGTACATAAGAATGCCTGAGGATGAGGGAAATGGAATCTAATAGTATTTTTTGCCTTTTTTCATAAAAATTACAAGAATGCCACTATTTACCAACTCTTTCTCTCTCTTTTGCTTTTTTTCCTTTCAAATTACAAGAATGTCACTCTCTCCTACCAACTCTCTCTCTCTTTTGCTTTTTTTCTTTCAAACTACAAGAATGCCACTCTCTCTCTCCTACCAACTCTCCCTCTCTCTCTCTCTCTCTCTTTCTTACAAATTACAAGAATGTCATCTCTCTCTCCTTATAAATTACAAGAATGCCACTCTCTCTCCAACTAAGGGAGACCTCAGCTCAGCATCTCGGCTACAAGGGAACCTACAACCAAAGGTAGTCGAGTTCGAGTTGAGCCGAGCTCGAACTTCTGAGCTCAAGCTCAAGTCTTTAATTCGAATCGAGCTTGAGCTAGACGACACCTCGACCACTAAGGGAGACCTCAACTTGGCACCTTGTCAACTAAGGGAGACCTTAGGTCGACACCTCACCTGCTAGGGAAACCTCAACTCGACACTTCAATAGCTGAGGGAGACCTCGATTTGGCACATCGACAATTGAGGGAGACCTCGGTTGCTTGAGAGACCTACAATCGAAGGTAGCCAAGCTCAAATTTCTGAATTTTTGACTCAAGTCGAGCTTGAACTTGAGCTCAAGTCTCTAATTCGAATCAAACTCGAGCCTGATAGTTTATGAGTGAACCCCTGCAACGTAGGGCCCCCTCCACTAGTATGGCCTTATTAGACAAATATTTCCCTATCCCAGTAATCCATTAAGATCCGATTGTTTGTAACCTCACATGGCTAAATATTTTCCTAAACCCAATGATGCCCCTTTTGCTTTAGGGAACCAGAAGCACTTTTTTATAAGAAAATTTGGGATTCTGAAAGGAAAAAAGCGTATTCTTTCTTCATCCTATTTTTCAAATCAATAGACAATAGCTTTTTTTATAATACTCATGATAAGCTATGAGCATCAAAGGTATCAAAAAAAATTGAAAGCTAGATGCTGCAAAAATTTAGAATTAGTCCAACACCAAGACGATAGAGAATAATGAAGTGTTAACTGATAGTAACCATGCAAGGTTGATGTGAAAAACGTATTATGCTTTCTTTACCCAACTGTAGGCCAACGATGAGTGTTGATTTTAAAAACTTGAAACACCATGGGGAGTTGTTGGGCCCCTGAGCGAATTAGAGGGGATCATGGGCAAGAAGAAAGGATATAAAAATGGAAAATTGAGAGAAATATACTAGTGATAATGATAAGAGTGATCAAACCAGAAAAATGCGATAATATTGACTTAAGGAGAGGAAGCATCAGACATCAGGAAAATTTGAAAATGAATCCGAACGTTAAGGCTCCGTTTGGTTTGTGGGAAAATTTGGGTGGGATGGGAAAAGATGGGATGGGATGGGATAGAATGGGAATGTGTAAAAATTGGACTTTTCAGTGTTTGGTTTTATATATGGGAAAATAATAGGAAAAACACGTCACGACCTGGTTCTTCGCTGGAAGAAGAAGAAGAAGAAGGTGAGGGAGGAAGACAGGAAGAATAGGAAGAAAAAGAAGGTGAGGGAGAAGAGAGAAGAGGAAGATGGAGGGAGAGACAAAGAACAGGGAAGGTAGCAAATCGATGGTAGCAGGGTAGCAAATCGTCGCTGCCTGGTTCTCTTGCCACCGCCACCTCCTCCGTTCGAACGGGGAAGGCAATGAACAATGGTTCCTTTTCAGTATCTAGTGAAGAAAACAATGGAGAATAGATCAGGTCACACTGTTCGTCGTCATTCATCTTTGTTGCTGTTCGTCGTTGGAAGGCAATGAACAGTGGTTTCTCGAGTTTTTCCACCGGGGTCGCACTGTTTTGATGCGACTCCGATTCCACGTTTTTGGGATCTCACATCCCACCTTTTTCTCATCCCATCCCTCTATTTCTCTCAAAACAAATAAGAGAAAAATGAATATTTTTAGAATATTCCTTTTTTCTCATCCCCATCATTGGAAGTGGTCTGCCTTGCATGAAAAGAAAAGACACGAACGTAAATAGGTGAACGTGCCCAGACCAAAAAATGCTCTCAAAGTCTCAATAGTCTATGCTGTTGTGTTGGCCTCAACAGCCAAAGTTATCCCAATCAAGCATGGGCTTATATCAATCAAATATCAGTTTGTGATACTGTTTTAAAAACCGATGTGCCTACCCACTTTTTCCCTCTGGGTAGCAAAGTCAGGAGTTCAATTGGCCAGATTGAATGTCAATCCATGATGTAATTAAATTCTACATATCAAAATATATGATTATAGTTTGCATAATTTTAAATTTTATTTTATTTTTTATAAATTAGAAAAAACTAAAAATTGAGATTTCAGTTGGCAAAATTAGTGGGCCAAGATGCATAGATCACGAGAAGATTTGGCCGCCAGCCTCAAAACCCAAGTTCAGCACAGCTTGGAGGTTTGGAAGAAACCTAGCACCATATCCCGCGCTTGCTATAGTCATGCAGGGCCATGCCGGCCCACGAGCAACCCAACCCACTTTACAACCCTATTACTAGCTGCTACCCACCTTCTCCTGAGAAGACTCGTAACACCAAAATATAATTTCTTCTAGCATCCCCAGCATAAAATTCTACGTATTGTGTTAATGCTGCGTATATAGACAAAATAAGCTCTCTCTTTTTTTGCCTACTGGCGATTACAGTACATCATCAATAGAAAAGTCATTAAATTCATTTTATCAATAACTACGTAATATTTTTATCATTATTAGTTCAGTTCGGAAATGGTATCAAACATCAGAATCCAATATGAATATTAACAGATCGAATTTGTATCCAAGTACATTCGATATGTTCCAGCTCTGATATGGTAGCAAGTAGCAACCTCATAAAACACAAGTAGTCGCACTGTTGTGAAGGTAGAAGATTCAAATATTTCAAGTTTTGCAAGGTCAAAACTCATTATCCGGTCAGCAAATATGGCCTGTTTAAGTGCTGATAGATGTGGCGGTGCACACGCATTGTTTCGAAATTTCAAAAAAAGGCATGCCACTTAAGGGCGCGAAAGCGAGCGTTTTTTCAAATTTGAAAAAAACGTCGCTGCCGTTTTTTCTGAGACATGCATTGACGTTCCATCAGTTTCGAAAAGATACGCGCCATCACTGTCAGTTTCAGAAAGACGTGTGCCAATCACGTCAGTCTCGGGCAACGTGTGGTCAGTGCAGCTGTAGGCCGTTGGATTGGCTATGGCCAAGTCCAACATCTATCAGTTGTTTCCTTTGTATTCTGCCGGCCTTTTCACATAATATTAAGTAATGGTTGCTTTTATCAACACTTGAGACTTCGAAAGAAGCGACCTCTCTGAGATTTAACTAGAGGGACGGCACCCTCTGAGATCTCTTCAACTTAGAAGTATCTGTTTCACTTATTCAAACAAAGCAAAGACTTGCTTGGATCTTTCCCATTGACATAGCAATTACATCAAATGGTGTTCCCCGAGTCGTCTGAGTTAAACTGCCTTTTTTTAAGTACTTTTCACAACCACCTAATACTACAAGTTTTGATCAAAGACTAGAAATACAACTTCATTTTGAACAAGACATAGACCCATTAATCACAACACACAAACTTAGATACATACATGGTTAGTGACTACAAACCATTGGAAGCAAAAGAGGTTGAGGTCATCATCAGTGTTACCATCTTTTTGATCTCTCGCATGATCCGGACCTTATGTCCTATCGGTAGTATGCCTGTTGATACCCCGGTACCAAACCATTGCCATAGCCACTATACGCTGAATAATTTATGGGAGCTCCTGGATAAGACCCAGCAAGAGGAGGAGCTGCTTCTTCTGGAGGGTAACCATAATGGTCCCTAACAGCTGGAGGACTCCTGCTGCCATACATGGTCGGTGCTGCTGATCTCTCGTAAGCGTAAGGAGGGACTCCAGTAGGGTATTGCCCATGGGAAGGAGACCGCACAAATGTAGGGGCTGCTGGGAAAGAGGATACATATGCATTTGCCAGGCGGCCAGCCTTGGCCGGAGGCATGGGGCCTCCATTACTGGCTCGTGTTCTCTTGTTGGCAGGAACTGCAGCTGGCTTTTTCTTTTCAGTCTTGGCCTTTTCTAGTTGTTCAAGGCGCTTCCGGAGTGTTTCTGGTGGAAAATCAGATTCAAGTTTGTACTCTTCAATGCACTTGATGACAGCCCGAAGTGCCGACTGCTCCTTACGTCCAGCTAGATGCTGCAATGGAAATCAATGTGAAATCTTACGTATGCTAATATGTTAATTTGCTGCCTTACCGATCAAGAAAATGTTAATTTCCTGCCTCGGTGCAAAACAAATCAAATATGAATATTTCTTGCCTACCTTGATTGTTTCAGACAAACATAATGTTCTTAACCCGATTTTATTTGCCCATCACAGGAAAAATGAAGACAAGCGTTGCAAACTTAACCCCCCCCCCTTCTCTCAAATCAACGCGAACACCAAAAACAGAGATCCTAGCTGAAAAAGGCTTGACTTCAAATACTTCTCTTTGGCTAGGAGTAGGGAGGTCAGACATTGTTTGGGAGCTTCAGTGTAATCATCGGTCCCCACCCCCCAACTGTTTTGCTCAGCTTTTAAACTGCTTTACATATATTAGGTTATGTTTCCATGCTTCCAGGAGTTTTTTTGACAGGGGTTTCTCTCCCTATATCATTAACAAAAGTAATTCTGATTGTTTATTGATGGGAAAGGAAAAAAAAAACACTTGAAATGCCACTATTCTCTATAATAATGTTCATGAAGGTCTTTAGACAACAAAGCTTTCATTCCCTATGAAGGAAACAAATTCTAAATTTTACTAAAATAAAAATACTAATCTTATTATGATGATACAAGCAAGTTCACCAATACCCAAAGTTTTGCCCCAAATTCAACTAAAACCAACCAACATCATAAAAGCACTGCCATAGTCAAGTGTAAATACATTGATCATTTTACATATCACACAAGCATTCCCCAGTTGCAGGCAATGGGAACCAAATCAGAAATTATCAATATGGGCATAGTCACAAAGATGGAGAAATCAGATGGACCCGGACCCAAATCCACCCCTTTTCTCAGCCATCATTCACCATGTATCTCTGATAAGCATGTGCCTTAGAAGTAGCAATTCTATATCCAACCAATACTACACTTCCCCCTTCCCTTCTGGTGGCAGGGTCAAGAAACAAGCACCACAGCTGGAATTTTCAGTTGTGTTACATCACTATACTTTTTTTTGGTAAGACTACATCACTATATTAGTGGTAGACTAAACATGTTCTAGAAAAAAATCAGATATTTCAACAATATTACAGGTCATTAATTTAATTATCATACATAGAGTTGCATGGACATGGACATAGGAGTTGGAGTAACGTGTTTTCAAGAGTCTGCCTTAGCAAGATGAGAGAATATGGACTCACAGACGCATCTACATAAAACTATACAATATCATTTTGTTTAATTCTAACATTATATACCCATAAAAAAAGTTGGCCGTCTTTAGCTGTTCATGTCAAACTCAAATAAGCTAAGACAAAAAAAAGTGGTACATATGATGATGATAGGAGTGTCCCTTAGGAGCAGTTTGGCTGCAGTCCCAATTTCATTTGTATTAGCTAAATGCATGGGAGTGCAAATAGGCTGTGTAAATTCCGGTTTACTTCATATTTGACCGTCTTGTAGGAAGATGTTGTCCCCACATTACATGCAAGAGAATGGAGGTTGGGTAATTTGTCTAGGAGTGAGGTAGGAAGCTAGTAGCCCCCACTTTAAATGAGAGAGAATTATGGTATGTAGAAGGTGGTACAACTTTTGCATCAGTTGTTGAAATGCAAAATTTGCACTTCCAATGAGTGCAAATTAGATAAAAAGAAGAAATTTTGCATTAGATATGAATGCAAATCATGATTACAAACAAACGGATGCAAAACTGAACCGGGTGCAAAATTTGTATCTGGTTCAGATTTGCATAGCAAACAAAAAGGGACTTGAGAATCTATGGAGTTCCAGAATGCAATGCAAATATGACATGGATACTAACTAAATCCAATTAGGAGAGTCCATGCAACATGTTCAAAGGTTCAATTCCGTCTCCTAAACCTTCCTATGTGTCTGTATAAGTCCTTTCATTTACAATCTATAACTTTGCCCTACATTTTCAACCAAAATACACTTAACTTTCAGCAAGTTTTGAAGTCCAGGATTATTATATTTATTTCAGTCTGAAGAAGTGATTTAAAAGGCACACAGGCAATGCACATTTCAAAGCCTGCACCTTGTGCCTCAGCTAGGTGTGCACCTCAATTAATTTTCACTTGTTGAAGACGCTAGCATGGATTTGTCCGGGCTTGCCTCAAGGGGCTTGGTACAAAGGCGGCTTGTAGAATTGGGAATGCAAAATGTTTCACAGCACATTAGCTATTTGAAATAATGTGATTGGAAAAGAAATAAAAAGAATTTAGTATTATGTTATGTTTATATATTTAATTAGAGTTAACAGGCTTTTTAAAGAATTTAGTTTAAAATTAATGCTTGCATTTTTAATTAATATTTTTTTATTTATTTTGAACTTTTTGCATTTTTTGATATTTTAAAAATTTTGCGCCCTGTGCCTTGCTTGGACACAAAAAAAAGCCTTTGTGCTTTTTTTTTTTTTTTTGCACCTAGAGCTTTTAGAACAATAGTCTGAACTCTGAAGTATCTAAATTTGGTTTTGTTCACCCTAAGAAAAGTAAAATTCAAAAAAAAAAAACAGTGAAATCAAAAGCAGAACCACTTAAATTAAAAGTTATAGGCACAGCATTCAGCTTGAATGGGTCAGACATACCGCTGCTTTTCCAGGGTTGTTACGATCCTCCAAAATAGAATTTGCAACCTTCTTTGAATCCTTCAAGTAAGCCTTTAGTAGTGGAATAGGTGGAAACTTGTCTACAAGACCGACCTCATAGGTAAAATGCACTGCATCAACCTGCTGCCCTCTACTAATTAATTCTTCAATCATGTCTGCAAGTAAAAAAGAGAACAGAGTATTTACCTGTCAACAACCCTAGCTCTTCCCATTAATGGTCTTATGGAAAAATTACATCTAGTAACTGAATCCAAATGAAACCACATTAAAAAGCAGCTTATATGATGATATATCTCCCTGATGGGAAACAAAACATCAATAACACAAGGCAAATTTTAGGATTTATGCTTGCGTAAAAACAAAGATTACAATCAACCACGGTGATGAGAAATCACCCAAAGGAAAACACAAATGATTCTTTAGAATCCAGCTAGAAGGCCAGCCTCAACATTATCCAGTTAGAAGACCAAAGCCCACCAAATGTTTCTTTGGAAAAATCCTTAAATTCAGGAAAGATTAAAATCCAATACAACAGCTTAAAGCCTTTAGATAGCAAGTTAGAAACATTTGTTGGCATAGAAACTAGAAAGACATAACATATGTTTGCATATAACATTCGTGGATAAATCAATGAGTTTGACTGCCTTTAGATAGCAAGTTAGATATATTTGTTGGCATTTCCAAGGTCTAGTCACTTGCTCCTACAACTATATCTGATACCTTACAGTCAATTGCTCTTTCATTATACTTGAAAACAGGACTCCTAAATGTCACAAAACCTCCCAAGGGAGGCTTTGTTTCCAATAAAGCAGCCATAGTTGCACTAGGAAAGCCTGCAAGTCCTAGCTTGTCTAGAGATGAACAATCTTGTACTGTAACATGCCAATATGGTGATTTAAAACCAAACATGTTCCACACTTGACAAATAGAGGGGTATTGATATGGTAAAGGGTGAGAGGGGACAATTTTAATATCTTCTCTTGTTTGACCAGATTTGTCAGGTTCCCAGCACAATGATTTGGAGATTATATAGAAGGCAAACCTCAGAGGTTGAAGTAGGACGATCAGTAATGCCCTGGCCCAATCTTTCTCACCCAATGCTTAGGTAACCTGGCTGTCAAACTCAATCATCTTAATAGGAAAAAACACAATCAACCTAGTATGAACCAGCAGTTTGCCAAAGTAGAAGGCAACTCTCTAAGCCAAGTGAACTGAAATTTTGGCTTTTGTAGTTCATATTTTCAGTGAGTATCCACTAGAGGATATACACATCAAATGACAATTCAACTAGTTTCAACTTTTAACCAACTAAAGAATATTAACATAAAACAAACACATGGCATACTATATTCCAATTCAAAACAGCTCCAAAAATGAGCTCTTTATGAAATGAAGCCCCCTTTTGTGATCACCATCTTACATGAGGTTTTTTTCCCGCTGACAAAGTATCAACAACTTCAGGTCGATGACACAAGCATAAGCCCATGTCATTTTAGTGCTATTACAAGCATGAGTTAAAGCCCTAGAGTCAATACACTAGGATGGCAGAAGTAACCAACATATTAGTTTCTATAACCAGAGATTCAGACATATCTTCTTTCTTCTTCTTCAACAAGTCCAGATATTCCCAAAAAAACAAGCCCAGATATTGAGGACAATTCCTCTTTCAATTTCTTGTTTGCTTACATAAGTGACACTCATTAGATGATTTGTCTTTCTTCTGCTTCTTGGATTTGCCTCCCTTCTTTTGTTACTTCTTTTTCCTTTTCCTCTTTTCATTACTGGACTTGTTGCTACCTTCAACAATCATGGCTACCAACCGGTCCTTCTTAATTAGTTCCTTGGCTCTCTACAACATATTGTTGGGCTCTTGCAAGGTGACCTTCAACTTGTTCATGTTGTAGTACATAACGAACCAATTGAAGAATGGAGGTATGGAATTGAGTATAGCATCTACATTGATATCGGAGTTCAACTTACTACCAAGAGCCTCTGGTTCATTAATAAACCCTATCATCTTCAATGACACGGTCATAAACTAGTTGATTCTCGGCCATTCTAGTGATCATCGGTGATTTGAGGACCTTTTGACAAGCAGAACAGTTTTTCTCCTTGTACATAGACTTTAGACTATATAGAATCCCTTTGCAAGATGTAAGCTCATCAAATTGTTTCAGGATAGAGTTGTTTAGGGACACCAATATGTAACAACGATAAGAAGAGTTCTACTCCCATTCTGCATACTCTTTTCTCCTAGTCTCATTGGCTCTTTCACCGAGAGGATCCAGAGACTTCTAGTTCATAATTTTGTCCAATTTTTTTGGAAGCCAAGACGATATTTAGGTTACGTCTCCAGTCAATGCATGGGTCCTTTCAGCTTATTATCATCAAGGCGTTTTGCAAAGGGTCTATTTGTCATTTTTGATAAATGTTCAAAAGGATTTATTAGTCCATAACCATTTATTATTTCATGTGAACAATCTTAGAAAGATCCCATTTTATTATTTCATGTCTGATTGGGGTGGTTTTTTTATTTTGGATAACTTTTCGAGATCTATGCATCCCAAGGGATCATAGGCACCTTGCCCTGCTATTTTCACCCAAAAAAAGACCTTTTTGGACTTAAATTATGATTTTTATCTTTTTTTACAAATAAAAATATAAATATAAATTAAATATAAAATAATATTTATATATACATATATTACATCTAAAAAATAATTATACATTTTGACTGATAAAATACATGTTTATAGACATACCTACACACACATATGTATGTAGATCAAGGATTGAAATTTCACAACAGATCAACCAATACATATCATATTGATGACCCATCGATGCATTACTTTTGGATAGGTTTCAGCAGTTGACCTGTTTCAAGGGGTACACGAGCCTTAAACAGACCCCCCCTAACAAATTTGAAAAAAAAACTAAAAAAATGAAGCACCCAACGAATTAGTGACGTGGTCTCACCCATTCGACCTAGACGGTCAAACCGGGGACCCACGACTTGAAGGCAAAACAGTTCCACCTCAGAGTTGGTTTTTAAAACATTGCATAACACTATGTTGTCCAACAGAAAGTTTAAGCAGAATCATGTTCTCCAAGGAGGCAAAGAAAATAATTGAATTATCACATAGGAGATGGGAACACATATTTTAAACATGTTAAAACAAAATAAAATTCTCAAAGAAATTCAAGGGGAAAAAGAGTTGGTCAATTAGCATAACCACTAACAAAGACTCAACTAGGATGCCATAGCTATTGCATACACATTTTATATACCTTGTTGAATATATGTTTAGATCACTCAGAAGCATCCTTTCCAACCGGGCTTCTTTTGAAAATAACCAACCTTTATGGCTGGTTAAATGTTATTGATAATGCCTACTTCTGCTTGCAACATTCAATGTACTAAACCCCCACTGTTACCAAAATGCCAACTAGTCAACCAACTAGCCAGTTAAGGGCCAGACTAACTTCAACTAGGTCAACTAGTCAACCTAGTTCTTCATATGGCCCCAAAAAAGAGGGAGAATCATGTGGAGATGTGTTAGATCAGCCTTGCTATGGACAATTTGGGAAGAAAGGAATGCCAAAATATTCCAAGAAAAGGAGAGGAGCAGCCAAGATCTAAGGATTGTGTGTTGAATAGGGCAATCCACTAGCTAAAGACTCTAGAACTTTTCCATCACTTTTCCTTTTCAGACTTATGGAAAAATTGGCTAGCAGTAGAAAGGTGCTCTTCTAGGAAGACTAAGGCAACTACAAAATGGATTCCACCGCCTGAAAGTTCAATGAAACTGAATTTTGATGGGAGTAGTCAGGGTAACCCAAGGCACTTTGGAATGAGAGGTGGGGGTATTGACAAATGAGGCTGGAGATATTGTACTTCTCTATTCAGGTCCTTTGGGATTTGGGAATTCAATCAGAGAAGAACCATTAGCAGCCTTACAAGGAGTGAAACTTACAAATCAATTGCGTGTCAGACAGCTTGTTATAGAAGGGGACTCCAAGGTGGTGGTGGGGTGGTTGCAGAACCCTGAAGAAACTACATGGTGCTACAGAAATGAAGTCAAAGAATTTAAGTGGCTAACAAGGAATATGTCTGCTGGTACATATTGGGTGGGGAGATCAGCTAATGCTTTGGCTGATGGTTTAGCCAAGCAAGGGGCAACTAGGGAACTCTTGTTTGGGGCTCAGCTGTAATGCTTGTCTTTTCCTTTTAAGATTCTTTGTAATCTGTTATATCCAATATCTTTTGAAGTAATAAAACTATCACTATTCATTAAAAAAAAAAACTAGTCAACGACAAAGTCATTGTAAAGCTTTATTTGTTTGTTTGTATCTTTAATCATTAGTATAAAATTTATTTGCATTTTGTTATATTCAAGATATGCTTCAAAATATTTGTGATTGAACATGATTGGATGGTGATAGCTAAAAATAGAAGAAGGCATAAAGTAAGAGATGGCAGTGGAGGAGTTCTTTTAACTTTTCTTCGAATCAATGGTTCATTGCTATGGAGTTGCCATGTCGCATACAAAGGGCACATCAAATAGTCCAGGTCGCATTCTTTCTTTGGAAAACAAAGGCTATGGTTCTCCATCCAATATTATCCAACCTAACTTTTTCTTTGTTTGCAAAACAAAGACTATAAACTAAATGTTCAATGTCATTCTTTTCTTACACAATTATAGTCTATATTAACTTACTTGGAGATTGTATCAACAGCTTAAATTTAGAGCATATCCTTTTATCAACTAGTCATCACCTCACTGCATTGATAAGTGACCCAACAACACTGATTTCCCCTTCCAAGCAGCATGTATATGAAAATAAGATATGTTTAGAAATGTAGAAAAAAGTACCTAAAAGAGATGAATATGCTTCAAGGCTTCTGAGCCCTAATGCCTCTCAAACATCAAGGAATCATCTTATACACGAGAGGCTTTACAAAATCATAAGACACTGACATAGTAATCCTTAACAATCTCCAGATCCATCACCATCTGGAAAATGAACCAGTTGGCTAGATCTTTTTTTATAAATACTAACCAGTTGGCCAAGTCATGGATTGCCGAGGAATTGGGCTAAGTGTCTCAGTCTAAAAACTGATACAGGTATGCATTACCAACTGGCATGAAGTGGAAACCAACCAGTTAACAAATAAGGCAGTATGGTAAATTAAATGCCAAAAAAATCCTAATAAACAATAACTTCTTCACTTTCAGAAAAGTAGGTTAAACCTCAGCCAAAGAAGGTTCGATCAAGCTACTCAGTTTTCGTGGTGACATACACTCCAGGTTCTTGAACATTGACCCTTGACCCCTGTATATTGTAGCAAGTCAATGGATGATAAGATATCCAAACTTTGCAATACACATTACATTAGAGAAATATATAAAATATGGTTCGACTATGATGCCAGAAAAACATGATACCGGAAAAACTTATAACCAACCAACCGGCATAATAACAATGGTACCCAACAGGTGGGTTTTCATCAAAATTCACGGGAGGTTGGGGGTTGATTGGTCAATGCTTTTCCAGTATCATGTCTTTCCAGATCATAGAGTTTTCCATAAAATATATACTAATCTGCAGCCTTGCAGGTGTGGCATAACTTGTAGTATCTAATTTCTTCCAAAAAAAAAGAACTTGTAGTATCTAATTGATTATAGTTTTCAAGCAGTTGCTCTCCTGAATTTCTACTATGATATAGATGAAAGTCAATAACCTTAGGTATCAAAGGGAGAAGAAGAAAGCAACTGTTGATAAGATTTCTTGTTTAGATTCCAACAAACGAAAAAAACTAACCCTGTTTTTTATCAGCCTTAACCCAACCCCTGTTTCTCGGTTCGATCTGCTTCGTTTAACTTTTTATGCTACATACAGACCAAGCAGTGATTTGGATATGTTCAATGTATTGGACCTCTACTCCTCTTGGAAACTCTACTCCGTACTCAAATAGAGTATCAATGAGCCAAATTAAATTAACACGTCCACAGAAATCCAAAAGACAAATTTGAAGAGAGAAGAAAGCCACTTCTGGTTTATAATCAGTTAATCACAATCAGAGAATAGAGGACATGAGACAAGGAAAATCCAAACAGATCTAGCAGTCCTATTCCTCTCCAGAAACAAGATAAAAACATGTTTGCCAATAACGTACCAGCCATTTTATCTCCTAGTCCAAGTGAAACCGCAAGTTTGGGCATCTGCTTCCGCCAAGCATTAGCAACCACGATCTTCCGATACAAATCGGCGTCCTCCTTGGAGACAATCCCGAAGGTCACCAAGTGCTGTATAAACGTGTGAACATCCGGCGTTTTGACATTTTCGATCCCTCCACGCTGCTCCAAACTCTCCTTCCAAGTAGCAGCAATCTCCTTTGCCGTTTCCTTCACCTTCGGCGTCACTACGGGGCGTGAATTCCCAAGAACAGGATCCGCCACAACAGGAATGAGCGACTCCAGAATCAACACACAAGCCCAACCCAGATCGTTCGTCCGCTCAGTCTTCTCAGCCCTCTTGTCAACAGGGAAAACCTCCGAAATCGCCTCAATAACAAACTTCGGAGGATCAATGCAATCAGACAACGCTAATGGGATCTTAACTCGAAGCGCGTCTATTTCTTTCTTCCTGACAGTCACAAACTTCCAAAAACCCGCAGAATCCATCTTCGTACAAAAGGATCTCAACTTCAATAGAACACCATCTTCACCATCACCAAACTCCTCCTTCCCGCCTTTCTGCATCGCAATCAAAGCCGCCTCCTTGCGTTCCTCAACTTTGGCAAGCGCCTGTTCAACGGTTCCATCGATGGAAACCTCACGCTTCTCAAGAACGTCAAGGGTTTCCTTAGTCTTGTTATCTAGGTTCTTAATCTTCTCCTTCAAAGCTTCAGATTTCTTCAGGAGATCTTGCTCTAACGAGGAGAAGTGATCAGAGAGCTCCTTCCATAACAGAGTACAACTTGTCATCAACGATGTCTGCTGTTGAAAATCTTCGAAGCTGGTCTGTAGCATCTCGCCCGGTAAGGCGGCAGACCCCATTTTGTTTTCCCTTGCAGCTCTGCAAGAAGGGAGAGAGAGAAACCCTAGAAAATGGAAGAAGTGGGAGATTCTGACAAAGAAGGCCAGAAAAAGGAGGTGTGCTGGTGATGGGTGATAATAAAGCAAGATGGAGGGAAAATGGTACGAGTTTGCTGACACGGGAGATTCTAAAAATGACACGTGGATAATGTCTTCAAATATTTGATGCCAACAAGTAATGTAGGAGCCGGTTTTGGACTTAAGTGGCGTTTGGAGATACGATATACATTTGGCTTTGGTCTTACACTCGTCGTCATTCTTCTCCAGTTCTCCTTTCAACGAAAGAAATCCAACTCTTTTTGTCGGTATCGTGTTGTTACAGTGTCAACTCACAAAGGTGCCGTAACCGGTAATTTTTTGCTGTGATTGGGTGTGTTCGTATTTCTCCGTTTTTTATATGGGTTTTTAGGCTATAATCCCCCTCGAAATCTGAATTGCAGCCCCCTCCGTTTTTTTTTTATATTATTTTTATAAGGATTTTTTTTATATTGTTTTTTCAGTCTATTAATACTTTTTTATTTTTCGGGTAGGTAGGGTAGGGATATTGCTTAGGCAGGGTGAGGTGTTCACGGTTTGGTTAATTAAAGCGTGGGCTTATTTTTTAAACTAAACTGAAGTTATTGGTTTTTTAACCGAAATTGAATCAAAGTCGATTGGTTAATCTGTTGACCAATTTGGTTAATCATCGGTTCTGTTTATCGGTTTTTTATTATTTATAATATATATTATAAAAAATATATACATATATAATAAAACACTGGAAATATATATAAAATATTATATTTTAAATAATAAATAATATAGTATATAGTATAAATATATATATATATATTTATATATAATGTACATTTATTAATTTATAATGTATAAAGAATATAAAATATATATAATATACATGACAATTTTCTTCAATGAAACATAAGCCAGTTAAGATTTAACCCCCATCATACAACTAGCTTAGGCTCTCAAATGGGGATAATTCAAAAGTTTAGGTATTATGCATTTATGAAATTAAATCAATATTTCAATCAATCACATTAAAAATGTCATATATTCTATTTGTTTTCATTTGTTCATGTTTCACAAAGTGTGTTTTCCTAGACTTTAACAATACTAAAGTCGTCAGTTGTGACATTAAGGTTGTGTTTGGCTTAAAATAAAAAGTAGGGAAAGGAACGGAAAGGCAAGAAAACCTTAACAAACCTATATAGACTTTCCTACCTCTCCCTACATTTTTTTTCAAACCAAATACAGCCTAATTTTATCACTAATTTACCTTCATGGTGTAATTCATACATTTTTGTTATATTAATTTTAAAAAGGTTTGAATATGCCTTTCAATTCAACTGTTTTTTTACTAAAATATCCTATTTATTAATTCATCGATTCCTATTTTAGTATGAGGGCAAAGTCAAAGAAGTATTTGGTTTGGTCGTGTATTTATTATGCATTATAAGTAATAATAAGAAAAAAAGGTATTAATGTTTTTTTATCATTTAGTGATTAAATTATGGCAAAATCTACTGTGCATTAAATCCACTTTGAGACAAATGCGAACCACTAATAAAAGAACACGTCACAATTTTTTTTTATTACGATTAACAACTTCGAGCATCGTTTGAATATTCATCGGTGATGACATTCTATGGCCATGTTTGAGAGTGCTTATTTGGATCATTAAGTACTTATTGGTATTTGGGAAATAAGCCTAAAATAAGTGCTTATTTTAAAAATAAGGATTTATTTTTAAGCCCAAATTTTCAGTTTTTTTAAATGCTTATACAATAAGCATTTATTCAATTTTTTCTTCTAAAATTATTCCTAATTGAATTTTAAAATAACACTTATAAAATTATTCCTAGTTAAATTTTATAAAAGTACTTTTGTGAAAGCTTTTTTACAAAAACGCATTTATAAAAGTACTTTTATGAAAATACTTTTATAAAAGCACTTTTATACTTTTATAAAAGTGTTTATGTAAAAATGCTTTCATAAAAGTATTTTTATAAAAATACTTTCGTAAAAGTGCTTTCATAACAATGTTTTTATAAAAGTACTTTCATAAAAGTGTTTTACAAAATAATTTATTAAAAGTGTTTTCAAATGATATATTTTGAAAATTTGAAAGAAAATAAAGGACAAAATGATCACAAATGCTTATTTAAGTGCTTATTAGAAAAAAGGACTATCAAATGCCCAATATAAAATAAGTGCTTATTTTAAAAAATAAGCACTTTAAAAAGTTGGGTACCAAATGCAAATAAATAATTACTCCAATAAACTCTTATTTTAACTTAAGCACTCCCAAACATGGCCTAAACCAATCACATCATTTATCCTTTTTTTTTCTTTTTCAATTCTTTTAAGTGATATCTGAAAGGCTCATCTATATATGAAAATTTGCGCTTGTACTTGGTAGCCCTTCATCTATTCATTCTTTTTACATTTTACTTTCATAGTCATAATGAAAACTCTAATGACCTTGCAAACATTTTAAATAAAATAAATAAATTATAATAGCAACTTTGATTAACAATTTCAACGTGATATTTTAATTAGATCGATTCTGACAAAAAACTCTTATCTAAAGATTATAAAAGAGATTTATTAGAACTTAGAAATACCTAACTTCAAACTTCCAAATTTTACCCCCCTCCAAAAAAAAAATCAAATTTCGAAATACCCTTTTGTGCAAAGAGTTGATGCATGAGCACTTTGAGATTAGGGGTGCAACTTGGACCAGATTACTACCCCAACCTGAAAATTTGGGTTTGGACTGGGATGGGTTGAATTTCAGGTTAGGATTAGGACTGAAAAAACATGAACCTAAGTAATTATTGGGTTGGGTTATGGTCGAGGCCTTAGCAATTAGGGATGCAAAACGGATCAGATCGGATTCAAATCATGGTATATCCTCATCCAACCTAATATTATATCTAAGATCCGATCCAATTGGATCTAACAAATGGTGATTCGAATCCAAGTCCATTAAGGATGTTGGATATCTAAATTTGTTCCGATTTAAATTATGAAAAAATTAATAAATTATTAAAAGAAGAAACATAAAAGTTTATATAAAGAAAAACAAAAAAAACTAAAATATTTTTTCAACTATTTTCATCATATATATTAATATATACATGTCTTTTTATAAAAATAATTACAAAATATGCAATATAAACAAGTTTATAAAAAAATATAAAAATATATACATGTCTTTTTATAAATAAATATATTTATAAATATATACATATATAAATTGGATAGTAATGGATCTTGTCGAATCAAATAGGGAGATGATCCGACTCCAACAAAAATAGGATTGGATTTGGATCATGATCATGTCTTTTGTAATTATATAAACATGATCCAATCCCATTTTTGTTGACATGTCTTCACATTTCTATGTATAAATTATATAAACATGATGCAAGATGCAACTATGCATCTATGAAAACAAAATTTTAAGTTTAAAAGGAAAAAAGATTTATGTTTAGTACCCTTCAAAGCATCATAATAGTGTCATTATACATATAAATAGGGCTGTTCATAAGAAGGCCCAACCCGACCAAACCGATCAATCTGGACCGACCCAACCCAAGTCGGTCGGGTTATCTTCAACACCGGTCGGGTTTGGGTTGTAAAACATCATAAATCGATGGTTCGGGTCGGTTTTAGTTTTCTTGTGTAAAAACTGAAACCGACTCGAACCAAACCGATTTAGCTAAAGAAGCATGTTATTGTATACTTTGTTTAGTTGTTCATAATCCTTTGTGCAGTGCATACAAGTTGATATAATGTTTGAAATTCATGATTTTCAGTTTTCGTGGTGAAATTAATCTCTAATATCAGATGCTTACCAATTTATCTTCTTTTTGCCGTTTTCACTTCTAGCGAGAATACATTCTCAAACTGACAACCCAAACTTGCACCACACAGGCACATGGGGGGCATGGTTGAACTTAGAGCCGAAACCGACCCAACCCGACCCAACCCGACTCAAACCGACCAGGTTGGTTTTGCTTAACACTGGGTCGATTTCGGTTTTAAGTTAAGGTAACCTGACCAGGTCGGGTCGGTTGGAAAAACCTCAGTAAACCGACCCAACCTGACCCGTGAACAACCATACATATAAATGATAATGATAGGGAGCATTCGATAACATGATTTTTTTTTTTTTTGTTTTACCGCTATATCAACAAATTTTTGTGGTTTTTCCTGTTGTTTTCAAAAATAAAACCAACCATATTCTCCACCACTCACTTAGTAAATAATCTTATATGACAATATTAAAACTAAGAAATAAGAACATTTTAATAGAATGAAGTGAAAAAACCGGGCCAATATAAACCCAATATGATCTCAACCCAATAGGAGAATTTGGGTTTGGATTTGGAGTTTTGAGGGGATGGAGTGGGGAAGTGGGGTTTCAACTAGACCTGTTTATGGGCCGGGTGGCCCGACGGGCCGGCCCGGCCTCAAGGATGGGCTTGAACAGGTATATGGGCCCATGGGCTTGTCTCGCAATAAATTCGAGCCGGGCTTGGGATTTGCCAAAATAGCCCGTCCTGAGCCCGGCCCGACCTAACCTATAATTAAACCTAACAACCCTAGTCGAATACCCCTCTTTTTCACCTCTTTCCCTTATTTTTCCAGTCGAACCCTTCTTCTTCACATCCTTTTTCCCTTTTTTATATTCTTTTTTTAATGTAAATAAAATTTGAATTTATATTCTTTTTTTAATGTAAATAAATTTTAATTTACATTGATTATTGAATAGGGAAAAATTCTATTTTTTTTTATTAGGTCGGGCTTCGGGCTTTTTATGAAGGCCGAGCTCGGGCCCAAGTTGTAGGCCCGTTGGTCGGGCCGGGCTCGGGCTCGGGCCTAACATATTTCCATTAATGAAGAGTAAAAGCCCGGCCCGGCCCAGCCCATGAACAGGTTTAATTTCAACAAGTTGCGTGTTGGCATCAACCCGACCAAATCTGCCAAAATTGTAAGGGTTGATTACGCAATTACTAGTGACAGAACTGTCAAATAGTTCTCAACCC